TCACACCTCCTTCTACAGAACTGAACCCCTTTCTCCTATCTTTGCTTCCTTTTATGCATCAGGAACTGCTCGAGTTTCTAGTATTGTTTCTTTGATGGCCACTCCTGTCCTGTGCTGGCTCTTCTTCACGGCAAGGCTGCACAATACAAAACTGCAACCCAAGTGTTAAGAATTTTTTATAGAAGTATTCCTACTCAATGCCAATAAAATGCTTCAAGCACCTGTAATTAAACAGTCTGGAGACAGATCTGCTAGTTAGTACATTCAAAAAATCTGACAGTCTTTCAAAGAGAAGAAAAAAGGGGACAATTGTTCAATATAAAGTCTTTACCGCAAGAAAAATGAAGTTATCTCCTTCTCCAACAGCCATCAGGGAACTGGCAGTAACTGGGGACTTGAGGAGGAGAGAAAGCCTGCAGGTCACATTTGGCTTTGGTTGATTTGAGCAGGTGGACTGGAGGGATTTTTTTTTGTTTCTCTGAAATGCTGCAACTTTTAAACAAAAGTTTTTGTGCTATTTGGAACCTCTACATGGGATTCCTTATGCTTTGGTATTTTGTCTGTGTGTCAGTAGGTGTGATCAGCATATGTAACCATCTGCCTCATCAGAAATCCATAAGCAACAAATTGCTCTTCAAGCAGTTCAAACCTGGAATGTAAGGATGTGGAATTATTAAAACAAGATGTTAATATGAGAAGAGCCAATTTATTTTTATTAAAAATGTAATTTAATCCAAGAATTATCTGAGCTCCGTTTAATGGGCAACACTCACTTGACTGTGCAGGGGACGGTGAGCTACGCTAAACACGCCATCTATGCGTAGGTATGGGGGCAGCGGGGAAAGGACAGGCGGAGACGCTGCCCAGTGCCCTCCCAAGGCTTCTAAAGAGGATGAGCTACTTGGGCAGCAGAGGAGAAAGGCAGCCAGCAGCGGCTCAGAGCGGGCCCTCCCTTACAGATGGAAGAACAGGTCCTGTGTGCCCACACCAAGGAGGTGCAGGTCTACCCTGCTCCTGCAATCCGCTTCCCAGAAGATGATCCCAGTCTCAAGGGCAATGGGCTCCAGCTTTTGCTAGCAGAAGCAAACACCCAAACTGATGGAAATTCCAATCCATAATTACGTTCTGAAACTCCCAGCCTGACTGCAATTTGGTTAGAAGCCTACAGATGAACTTCACAGAGGCTTAAGAGAATGAGAAAGTCAACATATAGCTGGGAAAAGCAGCTGCAAGTGACAGCAGACTGTCACATCAAAAGGCTGGAGCAATACTCTTTCCTTTCAAGAGCTGTACTGGGGCATTTTCACTGTTGCTTTCTAAACACCTACAGCTTGTACAAGCAGAAACACTCCCATGGTTAAGCTCTCTTCTCAGACATCTTTAATTCAAAACCCTGTTACAAAACAGCTTTTGCAGGCTCCCAAAGCAAGTACTTCTTGGAAACTGAACTCAGAAGCCACAGTTACGAGCGACGATCCAGGCTTTTGAGTCGAGATAAACAAAATCTTTCACTAATTTACCGTTGGCAAGCTCTGTGTTTAGCAAGAAGGCAAAGAAAAACTTCCCCTGGCGCTCTGCTAGGCAAATGGAAGCACAGGCAACTATTCCAAGCATTTCACAGCAGTACTTTTCCACCTCCATTATGAAAGACATCTGAAGCATTTTTAAAAACACATTTAACTGTAGTGATGGAGGCCTTTTGCTCCTTAGTCTTAACCCACCATAGGCAGGTGTGTTTCCCCCACCATTGAGCAAGGCATGAAGCTGCAGGACTGCAGGGAACTCCTGCGAGATGCTGGACAAAGTTGTTTCACTGACATACAGACTTTCAGCAAGATGTGACCTCAAAAGAAAAGAATTCAAGCAGGCTCGTAAGTCAAAGCTTCATGAAGAAAAACAGCAGTGACCCCCCAATGCTGCCTCATTCCTCCCCTGTAAACCCCACCTAGCACAAGTCACCCAGCTGGCTGGCTACGATGGCGCATGCACAGCTCTTCCTAACACTTCCTCCTGCACCATCAACAGGGAGCTCTAAATACCACATTAAGTCTTCAACTTCGCATTAATTTCGGCGTTAACTGGCTGGGGACTCACAAAGAGGAAGGATGATGTTTCTCTTGAGGACGAGCTGATTTCCAGTAACATTGCCACACTAAACAAATTGAACTGCTTGCTTTTGTAGAGACTTTTCAGATGAGAAGTTTTCTGCATCTTTTTTTTCCCCCCTCAAAGAATGAAACTTCAAACCTGAGAATGTCTGAACCCTTGGGTGACGCTGGCAACGAATGACTTCTAGGCCGTACTGACAAAACTTCCACGTTTTCCCTAACCAGTCTGAAGTGTTACATTCAAACCTGAGAATGTCTGAACCCTTGGGTGATGCTGGCAATGAATGACTTCTAGTCCGTACTGACAAAACTTCCACATTTTCCCTAACCAGTTTGAAGTGTTACACGTTCTTACTGCCGCTGCCGGCTCAAAACAGCTAGTTATGGCAAGGGACCGAATAACTGCTCTGTTTGAGATACAGCTTTTATAATTAACTCTACAGATTGATTTCTGCAGAAATCATTTTTTAACCAGGAGTTCCCTACTCCCAGAATGGCCGCTACTCGGCTAAGCTATTTAAGAGGTTACCTTGGATTCAAGTGCATTAAATTTCAGTTTCATCCTTTACACTGCAGCAATACCTTGAATTAAATTTCATACATCATCCTTCTGTGTGATAATGATATATTCACTTGAGTTTCAGAGACTATTGTAATTACTGATTGACTTGACTCATTCTGAATCCAGCAGCTTCCTGGAAAAATACCATCTAAGCAAAAAAAAAAAAAAGCAGATAATGTTGGATTAAATCTGTATTTTGTGCCCAATTCACACGTTTGTTCAGCACAGCCACCTGAAAGGATTCAAGAAGCAGCTGTGAATCTCATCACAAATAAACTGCAAAATAAACAGATAATGGTCTAAAAAAAGAAACAAAATCCCACTATGCTGTTCTTGATATCAAGAAGCATTTCAAGATTATAGGGAATAATAAATTTTGGGGACCGTTCAGTAACGCAGTCAAGGAGGACGAGAGCGTGCTGCGTCGCTTAGACTGGCACGAGACAAACTTCTGGATGGTTAGGAGAAAACACAGATGCCACTTGTAAAACAGTTTAGACAAGTGCCCCTAATTATCTCTCAGGATTCACAACATGTTTAAATACTCTTAGAGCATTAAAGAATCAACCAGAGAACACGTAATGTAATATAAAAGCACTCTTTCAAGTGCTATGAACATCTATAGTGTTATTTACTAATCTGTTGGTGACAACCCTGAAATTAAGGCAAGACTGCGCAGCGGAGCATCTAAACTGCAGGCTTGGAAGTTCAGATACGTGACCTCTGCAAAGCCCAAATCCACCAGTTATAGACCTTGTTCATTTATAGATAATCAAAGGTTCCAATGGGTGTTAAATATATTATCCATAATCCCTGAAGTCAAAGGTTAACAACTGCACTTCAGTAGATGTGACTATTGACTACAGTTTGTTAATTATTTTATGTTGACTATCATGATGTTTATTTTATAAAGGAGCAGGTTTATTTAAATCAGCAGTTGTTGGAAAAGCAAAGAGAGAAGAGTTTGAAATACACACCATTTCAGCAGTGGGGAGGGGAAAACACCCCCACAGAGTTGGACAACTACCAGATATATTTAGATTCAAAGAAAACCTAACTTTAAGATGATTATTTTCAAAAGCATCAGCGTTTGTTTGAAACAACATGCATTAGACATCCATATTCTTGGAGATAACTAAAAAAAAAAAAAAATTACATCCAGCCAATTGGTTACTTTAGGAAAGAGCAAGCCCTTATACCAGATTAGATGCATTTTTAAAAGCCTTTTCTTCCACATGCTTGGTTCCAACTGTAAAAATTGACCTTTGGTTTTAACAAGCCACACACACCACTTGCCCCAGATGTGGGAGGCAAAGAAGGTAGCTGATGCAGGAGTGGGAGCCACCCCAGGATGACAAAAGGCCTCCTAGATGATATTTAACGTTTTATGTTTGGGTGCCTATCTCCACGTATGGCCTGAAAATTCCCCTCCTGCTGAGGCGGGTACAGGTGAACGTCTCTCTCTTCCTTTCGACTGTTTTAAAAAGACCAGTATGTGTGGAAAAACCGGAACAAATTCCATATAATCCTGAAACAATATTTCTGATTTTCAGAAAATGCCATTTGACCTGTTTTTTTGAGTATGCATTTTCCATTAGCTCCTCATTACCAACAGCAGCTTATTTGTATGTTTTAGATCTGAATTTCCCGTTGCTTTAAAAAATGTAAATTACAAGAATTGACAGAGCACTGTAGTCTTCAGGGGTTCATCCAAGTATCTAGTTGTTGACATTTAAAACGTCAGGGCTGTCAAAATGGAAGAGGATAGTCTAGTGCTTATGTAAACTTAATTTCCTTCTTTCCATTAAGAAGTTATTAATTAAAAGGTAGTCTCAGCCACGTTCAAACTCTTCACACATAGCCAGCTTCCTCTGATCCTACTCTATTGAGATGATTTTATTTTTTTTTGGCATATTTATATTCTACTCAGGCAAAAAAAAAATATATATCTATAACTCATCCTAGAGCATGCAGAGGAGCAGTGGTAGTATCTTCACAAGACATCTTCCTGCAACATGACTGTGCACTGCAAACCACTGAAGCTTCACCAGTTTACTGTCTTGCAGGTTACTAGAATATCCTGGCCAAATGAAATTAGAGCTGTTACGTAAAAAAACCCACCCATTTGTATCACCAATTACTTTGTCACGTATTTTAAAGTTTCTAAGTCTTGCTGTCTATACCGTATTTCATTCTCTACATGTATTAAGGAAAAAATCAAGTTCTGCAGTAAGTCCATACACAGCCACCAAGAGGGCAGGACGCGTCCTAAGCAGGACCAGTTGCCCAACTTATTCAGGTTCATCTTATGTTCTTACGCTCTTCATTACCTGGGGACACAGGGCTTCAAGCTGGCTGGCTGACATGCGAACCAATTTCACACCTTCTTCGTTGTTCGAGATGGAACAGGCCAAGTTGGCAACCTGTGTCAGAGGTGGGAGAAAGCAAAGCACAACTGTCAGAACTGGGTTTTGTTCCCTCTGTAGGAAACTTTTTACCAGTGACCAGTAACCCATCATGAAATACAAAGTGTCCGCATTCATTCAGTTCTGAGTTTGAAACCGTTAATCAACATCTGTTCCTTCTCTAGCTGTAAAATCGTAACACAACAGATCATAAACCCAAAGTCATTCAAACAGGACAGACAGATCGTTGTTACCACTGATTCAGTTAACTTCTCACCAGTAAAACATACAAGAGCGTCACTGGCAGCACTTGAAGTTACAGTTAAAAAGCCTGTTCCCACTCAAGTGAGACAGCAGCAACCACACAATTAAAAAAACCAGTCCAGCTCCCATGCATCTGAGAATTACGTATTCTGATGTCCATAAGCATAGGGATGCTCCCTTTTTCTTGAAAGATTTCTATATCCTACTGCGTGTCGACCCAAAGCAACCTGGCGGCTCATCAAGCAATTCACCTACGCAAGCGGGGCAGCGATGTTGCAAAGCTCGAGCTGGTTTGCTGGTGTTGCACGGAGCGCACCTCTGCGACAGGATACGGGTATTTGAACACATTGGCTTAAACTACTTGATGCACTTCTTTATCTAGTCAAAGGCTGCAGCATCAGGCAGGCTTTCCTCCGGCCCTCGATTTATGCCGCAATTCATCAAATAAAACCATTTGCTGGTACAGGTGATCTTGCAAATCCATCCAAAATTCTCTGAAATTTGAGTATCATCTTTAGCATCTATGATGCTAAAAACTTTACTCCAAGCCTTGACCTGTTGCACAGCAGCATCTTTAACTAGGTCATCTTGAAACAGAGGACCTTTTGTAAACACCTGCTTTTTAAGAGCACACGGGAAGGGGACAGCACAGAAGTTTTTGGTAATTGAAGATACTCCTCATATTGGAGCTACTCTCAGGGGAAAGAAGTCTGAAGTAAGTTACATTTCTTAGTTGACAGGTGAATGACAAGCATGTTATTCTGAGCCATTTGAACACAGAAAGCTGTAAAAATAGCACAAAGTGAACTGAGATGAACACCGAGTACTGTCCTTTCAGTGACAGAGCAACCTGCAAAACCCCTCGGTAAGCACACTGTAAAAGCATCCTCACAAGCCAGCAGATGCTCAGTAACACCAGCGAACCCCATTTCTCCATCTACTTTTCTCTATAAGCTGAGGAAGTTCCACTCTCCCTTTAATTAAACTATCCTGCACATTCGTACACAAGTCATTTTGAAGTCGTATCTGCAGCTTTCCCTCTCCCCAAACCATTCTCTTGTGACAGATGTTCCCACACAGAATACATTACTGTCCCACAAACCAGCAACCACATGCCAATATATTTGAACAGTGTTTTTCATCAATCCCATTATTAATTTTGGGACCAAAAAGCACGTTCCCATTGCAAAGCACACAGCCTCTTCCTCCCTCCAGCTCCAAATCAAGTTACAAAGGATAAAAACCAGTGTGCTGTCAAGAAGAGAGGTACGTTTCCAACACCGAACGCCCAAGTAAATAGATGCAACAGCATACATTTGGATGAAAACAAACTGAAGTTGAGAGAAAGACTACGCAGCATCAACAAGACATAGAAAACTCTGCCAGCTTTCAGGAATATTTGTGTCCTTCTCCACAACTCTCTTTTCCACTAGTCTTTGTAGACAAGACCTACATACCAAGAGGTGGAGTAGCAGTAAGTCTTCGGATCATTGCAAGGTCATGCAGTTTGCACCTAGCTTACCAAGGCTCTTCCCTCCCTCCTTTCTGTTACCGCATTTGCTGCGGTCTCCAGCTCAGTTCCTCTCCACACACCACCACCAAACAGCTCTACTCTCGATTTTATTTTGAACATAGCTTTTTTTTTCTGTCTCCTGTATATTTGCCATGTCTTAAATCCCTAGTTCACAGTGAGCTGTAGTATATTATGCTTTTGTTCAGAGGCTCAAAAAAAAATAATCAAGGGACAGTAAGATGTCATGATTTAAAAGTCAAATAAAGATTTTGCTGTTGTTTTAAGCACAGGTCATATTTTTGAGATACACCAGTTTGCCAATATTTTTTATGGTCCATATTTTCATGTCATTTCTGCCTCCGCGGCAGCAGTTACAATCTCTAGGAGCGAGAAGAACACAAAGCTCTATTGAGTAGGGGCTGAATAAAAGCGACATTGAAGCACTACAAAATCAGCCTCTCCGATATCTGGAGATGTTGTGCTCTCTCTCAAGCCAAGTGTGATGAATCAAGCACACAGAAACCCCGCTCTGTCTGAATACAGAGAGGCAAAGAAGTTTATAATTGAGTGTCCCCGCCATGGTACGATGAAATTTTGCTTTTTTGCACAGTCATTTTTGAGCAGTCATTTTTCTTCTGAATACCTCACTGATGGCAATTCTTCTTTACAAATCGCCCGACTGGGACTGCCAACCTTTATGAAAGAAGCGTGTGTGCTTCCCTGACTGAGGGTCTTTGGCAGTTTAAGACAATCCAACTGTTGGCTGCCACATCCCATCCTACTGCTGCGTCTCCAAATCTCAACACTTCATTTCAGCATGCTCGTCCAAAAGAAAGCTCTTCGCTTTGGCGGATTAGTTTCTTTGCCAGATTAACACACAAAATTCCCAGCAAACTATTTGCTGAACATGAGAGAGAAGCAGGGATGTGGCGGCAGTGGAGACAGCTTCAAAATGCTGCGGACATGGTCCTAAATTCACAGCAATTGCTGCACCCACGGGCAGACTCCTTCAAACTATTGGAAAACACCCACAAACCTCTTTGAATTCAAAACTTAAGAAGTGCTATGTCAACTAATTCACCAAGTTGTAAATGACATTACAATAAGGTATTTTAAATTGTCATTAAATTAATTACTAGGTGCTCCATAGCATGAATTCTAAAGTTGCATGTACTAGCTGAGGCGGATGGTTGTATGATTAAGAAATTTAATTTAAAGGTGTCTGAAAGAGCCCATCATCAATAACTCATGTGAAATATCTGACAAATAGCTTCACACGCCCTGTCTGTAGGGAGCACAGGGTACTGCTGGCCAGTTATTTGACAGGTACGCATAATACATAGGATTTTGCAGCCAAGATAAAGATCAACTGCAGCCAAATTTGTTTTAAAGCACACAGAGCACTTGGAAATCATACATTTCTAAAGTAAAATAGAGCACCTCAAGCAAACAAAAATTCCCCTTAATCAAATGTAAATGAAATAGTTTCTCCGTGTCTCTAACAACGTAGCTGACTGACATAGTAAGTGGTCAGACTTGATTTAGAAAGAACACTTGTGCTCGAGAGCAAAATAGCAACTGAATTCCCGCTGCATTTGTTCATTCTTACCATTCAGTATCATCAAGTCCCTTTACACAAGCACCGCTGGCACAGGCAAAGGAGACAAAAAAAAAATAATCGCAAATAATGTAATCGGCCATAATGAGCAATCTCTTGAAAAAAATTAAAAATACATATGGAATGAAGACAGACTAGAGGAGCCAGACTGACGCAGTTCAGAGATACCTCTTGCAGCACTGACAGACCAGTTTAAAAGCATCTTTTTGCTGCAATACCAAGGCGCTCTCAGTTCAGAGCACATACAACCACGTCCCAGAGACGTCTTCATGTATCCTAAAAGGCATGACGGACCCAAAGCAGCTGCTGCTATTTCGATGAACGAACTTAAATTTACCCCCGTCACAAAGGCACCGAGCATTCACGAGAAGCACAGAGACGCAGCCACTTCTACAAACTGAACTAATGAACCGGTGCCAAGTAAAGCTCAAAGCCGGACGAACTGAGCTGGAAAGTGGGTTTCAAGCACAGATCAGTTTTTGAAACTCAAATCTATTTGTGTTAGCAATGACATCAGAGTGATGCCTTTGGAGGAGGCATTACTCACCTGGTTCCTTCTAGAGGTAGGCAACATCTCAGTGCAAAGGGTCAATCAGGGCTATGTTATTAACAGGAAGGTATAATTCCAATATAAAAAAAATAAATTGTGCCATCTGTCACAGAGTGATTCCATCGCAAATTCTAGTTATTTTGATTCTTCAGAATTTACTAATTTTAAATCAGGAAAAATCTTGACATTTCTAAAGCATTTTTTCCTCCATTACTGACAATTTGTCAGCCTATGTTTGTGTTGTCAGCTGTTGCAGACAACTGCCTTCTCTGACAATAGGCAGTTTGTACCTTTTTCACCCAAAACACCTTTTTTTTTTTTTTAACTTGAAATTTGTTCAGATAATGACTAAGGAGCCATGTCTTCCAGCAATTCAAAGACTATAGTAGCCTCAACTACACGAGCCTGGGGTCATCACTAAGCTTCTTAAATTACACTGTTGAAAATAATTGAGAAATATTGCTACAGCTCTGTACTTGTTAAACTTTCTCTTGGCATTGACATCCTAGCTTAGGTAGAGGGGTTACTCTACATAGAGCTGTTTATTAAAGGATTGACAAATTGGTTTTTTAATAAGAGACAAAAAAATTCAAGAGAAAAACAGAACTATAATCTCTAAGACATTGCATCTTCTTTTTCAAGGATTTCAAAGGCTGACAATGAAAGTTTGTATTAAAGTCTTTGCTTCGGGCACCCTGGATTGACTTTGGAGAAGCAACACCAAGTTCTTCCTCCTCGTTGACAGGTCATGTTTTTAGGCCAGCTTCTTCAGAAAGTCAAAATCCACAAAGCCCTCCTACATGGGTGCTGGATGAAACCATCCAGCAGTGGTGGCATCCAAAGAAGGGTTGTGATGTGTTTATTGCTGCATAATTTAAAATTGTCAGAGCTGCCTCTGCCACACAGCATTGTTTTAAATAAGGATGATACATTGCTATGCAGGAGACTAACACACACTAATTGAATTCTAAGAGTCTGACTCCTCTCATTTGAAACTGCAGTCGTAAAAATAGCATCACAGAACTAAAGAGTTTTCAGATGGTCTTACGATTGAAAAAAACTTAACTTTTTCA